GCTCCCGCCAAACTTCCTAGTGCGGATAGTCCAGAAAAAATTGGTATCAATGGCAAAAGTCCGCCAATCTTGGGAACAGGAATTTTGCGTGGTGTGCGGATTTTCTTCTTTCCACCAGCAGCTTTGAGGTATTTACGTGCCGCCTGCAATGCCACAGTGATAACTTTTTTGCTATTATTCGTCACAAATTGATCCCCACCAGCGTTCTTCAATATATTTCGCACTTTATGGACTATCCCAGCAACAAATGCAACTTCTCTCATTTTATTTTTCTTCGTTTGTTTCCTCTCACTTTTTTCTTATTGGTGCTACAACCCATGCAGCTGCTATTTTCTCAATACTCGCGTCCTTCGATTTTACCCTATCCCAAGCGCTGTATTCAAGTTCTTTGTCTTGCTGCAAGATCGGATGGATGCTAAGATTATTAAATATCGTATTTTTTGCATTCAATATCTCATTTATTGATTCCAGGATCGTTGCGAGCTGAACGTTGTTTCAATTTTGTACCTGGTCCACAGTATTGATAACCTCCGGGTATATAAATTTCGGTGGGAAGTTTGTTCATTTAATCATTATCAAAACCATAACCTCTTTTAATTTCAATCACTTCCAACCTCGGCACGATGCGCATTGTGAAACAGAATGAAAAGTTTGCTGTAGATAATCTAGATCAGAAATTTGGGTGTGGATTGAATGGACAAAGGGTATTCAGACATGGTCCACTACTTCCATCATCAGTTCGAGGACTCATTATAGGACCTTCAGATTGTGGAAAGACGAATGCAATGTTATCGCTATCAACACATTCAATGTTTATATGAAAGTAGCTGTTTCAGTAGGACTTTCTTTCAGTTTGTGTCTGAAAGTTACTTCTTTGCATGATCTTTTTTTTTAATTTTTTTCTTTTTTGATTAAGATTCGATATCAAGTTATCTTACTTGTTAAAGCAACCACATCGTTTTTAATACCTCGGTTATGCTGCATTTAAACGAAAGTAAATCTACAGTTTTCCACAATCCAGCAGTTTATAAAAATAGTAACATAATCCAAGAGGTTCGACGTCGAAACGACGCATGCGAAACCTAAATATTAGACGTCACGATGCCAGTTACCGATCTACAACGTTTGGGAACACAATGTCTCTATCATTTTGTTTGGGTTTTGGCTTTTTGGTAGAGTGAACATCATCAAAATGAAGTTTGCCGAACACCTTTCTGCTCATATCACTCCGGAATGGAGGAAACAATACATCAATTATGAGGTTAGTTTGAAAAAGCCTTGATTTCCATTTATTGGTTTTCTGGATTGTGAATAAAGTGACTCATTGTGTGGAATATTTGAATGAAAATGTTTGTTGCTCGGTGGAGAAATTGAGTGGTTGCCAAATTACATTTTCTCTATATTGCACTGAGTGTAAGAATTGTCACTCTATTCATAATCGTAAAAATAATTGTGTTAAAGCTATTTCCCGGTTTTTTACCATGATCTGACGTTTCGTCAACTACTGTGGTAGACATTATCAAAGGCCATGTGGTAACGGTCGCAGTGCCCGAGTTGGTGCTTGAATTGTTGTTCCCGTTGTTTCGAATGCAGTATCCGCAGTAGTAGACGAAATATCAGGCATAATAACCTGCAGAATATGACCAATAAAACGGAAGAATAGCTTTCATACAGTTATCTCCAGCCGTGAAAGTTCACATTCTCATTAATGATTTATTTATTTATTTAATACCCTATTATACAGGATGAACCCAATTACGGAATAGGGATAAACAGTCGCTTTTGCAAATATGTACTTGTGTGTGAATCTTTATGAGAAAAATTAAAACAGAACTGTCAGTTAGCTATGAAATGTCTTTTAATTAGTATATTCTGGTAGTTGAATATATCTAGGACTTGACTAACAGAATTAGAGGTATCGCACATTGTATAAATTGGAGATTTTTTCATTATATTTGTACGCGGAGTGTTGAGATAAAATGTGACACTATTCCTAGATGACCGTCTAGGAACCCAAAAATTCAACATATGTAACAGTTGAGAGCAGGTGATGATATTGTTCATGACCTTGAATAAAAAAAGAAATGAATAATATCTACGCCTTACCTCGAGACTACAGAAATTGTGTGTTACAAGCAATTCATAATAGGGTATTCCTACAGTAGGATACGTGCCTTCAAGTTCAAATGACATATATTTTAGGAAGCGTCTCTGTAGGGCTTCTAGTTGATTTATATGAACCTGATAGTAGGGACTCCACACGACAGATGCATATGGGAAATGGGTCGATGAAACTATCATTCGTTCTAGTTCCAACTTAAAGGAACTTTTTAGGCTAAAAATGACATATCCTGATTTTGCAGTCATATACAATGNTATCTCACACAGTGCGTTTGTTATATGATGACAAATTCGCAAATTCTTGATAATTTGACTGACCCTGTAAAACGAACTGTAGGAAGACAATGTAGCCATTGAATTGTTGACCATATACTGAAAATCAACTCTAAATTATATTATATTCAGTTTGGTTGGAATCGAAAACAAAAAATTGTTTTATGTTGCTCATAAATTAACCTGTATGTTGAAATATAAATTTTTTAACACCAGTAAATGAGTAATATAAAAAGTATAAATGATTGTTTTTTACAAAAAAGGAGGACATCCATGCAATACTTGAATCTGGTTAGTTAGTTATTCGATTACAATTCTGAGGTGTCCAATATTATAATATATCATAGTTGAGAATATTGAAAAGGGGCTAGTGCTCTAACTCTATGTGATCTAAGTGAGGCTTTTGACAGTGTGAATTATGAGCTCCTGCTAGGTAAATTGGAATATTACGAGATACGTGGCAGAGCTTTAGAACTAATGAAAACCTACTTATGTGGGAGAAAACAAGTTGTTCATACATCTGAAAACTGTAGCACATGTAGATCCATTTTGCACGTTGTACCACAAGGATCCATACTGAAACCAACTTTTTTTGTGGTATATATTAATGATATTTTTAATTTCTTACTTCCAAGCTTTTCGCTATACAGATGATGTATCAACGGTAAAGGCAGACTCAAATGTTAACGACTCAATGAACCTATGTTCTATGTTCAGATAATGATGCCTAAACTTGGTTTACTTTAAATCATGTCAAACGGAACAGTGATGAGACACAGAAAATTATGATGTCATCAAATAGACAACTAACGAAGAAGTAACATGTAGATTCATTGGAGTTTGAAATTGAAGACATGTTGAATTGGGAAGCACATGTTGCTGGTCTGTGCAAAATACACAACTATTCCTACTAAGACAGCTGAAGATGTGTCTTAGTCAAAGTATGGTATTACAGACATACTTTTCTCTTCTTAACAGCCACCCAACATATGGCATACTTTTATGGGGTCAGTTTTCACAAGCAATTAAAGCCTTTCGTATGCAAAAAAGCAAACCTGTATGTTGAAATATAAATTTTTTAACACCAGTAAATGAGTAATATAAAAAGTATAAATGATTGTTTTTTACAAAGAAGGAGGACATCCATGCAATACTTGAATCTGGTTAGTTAGTTATTCGATTACAATTCTGAGGTGTCCAATATCATAATATATTATAGTTGAGAATATCGAAAAGGGGCTAGTGTCTGCTTTAACTATGTGATCTAAGTGAGGCTTTTGACAGGGTGAATTATGAGCTCCTATTAGGTACATTGGAATATTACGGGATACGTGGCAGAGCTTTAGA